AACAATTCCTTATACATCATTTTTTATAAAAAAATGCTAAAAAAAAATTCCTTATAAAATATAAGGAAATGTGATACGGAATTTTAAAAAATGTATACAAAACTTATTTATAATAATGAAAAAACGTATGCAAATTTTTTATAGGGTTATAATCTAACCATATCTTGCTGATACATAATTTCGTAGTATTTTAATTTATCTTCCACTTTTTCTTTCATCTCTAAAAAAACACTGTCTTTGTCCATCTTCGCGCTCATAACTTTAACAATCTTAATATTGATTCCATCATCGAGTCTGATTTTACAGTCAACAAGGTGCGAAGCTTTGTTCAGTAAAGAACGAATTTTCTGAATTTTTAAAGAAAGAGTCAATAACAATATCGATCACGTCATAAGTAGATTAAAACAAATACCTTTTTGGATAACTTTTTATCACTCTCATTTCCTTTCTTTGGAGAATGGTCCAAGTCGTTAAAGTAAGACAGAGATTTCGGATCTTTGTTTACAAATTCTTGCGGACTATGAAAGGAGATGGTATTAGTTTCTATTATTTTGTTTTGTAAATAACAGCAATAAGATACCAGCTTACACTTTGTCAAGCCATTCCTGGAATCCAGCGCGAAATCCTTTTTCTTTTGTCGTTCTCTCAATCTACTCCAAAGACAAATCGACCCTTTCTTCCTCCTCCTCAAAGGCCCTATAGAAGAGACACATCAGAAAATAGACAAAAGAAACAAAGTTGATAAATCTCTTACTTGATTGGATCAAAACCTCTGGCTTTACATTTTTCCGGGTCCAAATATGTATCACCATATATAGTAGTAGTTAAACAAGCCTCATATTCTTTATGTGCTTTTAGAGATTCTCTGTAGATGTCGCCAATGTCTGGTCGAGACATTTTAAAAAATTTGAAAAATTTGACAAGATTTGCTCTTTTTCGTTGCACAGAAATTTGGTCAAGCCATCGAGTTACACAAATTTTAGCCAATAAAACTTGACCAAAAAACCGAACCAAAATCTCACTTTTTTGATATCAATCAATTAATCAATTAGTCACAATTTTAAACTTTTGTGATCAAAACTTCTTTGAATAGTAAATATTTTCATCCCGTATTCACACTTCGCATTCCCAATGGCTCACACCGTACGTGAAGCCCGTCTTCGTGTCGGTCACGAATCTTTTGGTATTAAAAAATTCTCCGTGAATACGCAAGGTCTAAATGATGTATGCATACTTATTAATTTGAAAAAAAAAGTTCAATTATCTTTTCTGTATAGTCGATTTTCCAAGAATGAAACTGGATAATAAAAATGACTTGGCTTTAGATCCATCAAATTTCAAATCTAGATTAAATGATTACTTTGTTCTGATTATCTATTCATGTCCTGAACAAGTTCTTGCTGCCTTTACGCGGTATTCAGGAGAAACAGTTATGGAATTGACCTATATCTGACCAAGTGCAAGCATAGAGAAAAAATAATTCGAAATAGAAATTTTATTAATGTATGTACCCTTGCAACTAAAAGTTATTTTATGTAATACAAAATCATCTCATATGCTTTCAAATAGATAAATAAACAATTAATTTTTTGCGACCGATCACTAGAACCTAAGTAAAAAAAAAAAAAAAACAATTAATTTTTTTTTATTGCCAAAAAATTTGAGTGTAAGGTGTTGTTGAATAGTTATATTTGATGTCTTTTTCCTTTTTTTTTTTTATTAATTATAACGAATTGTGCGCTAAATTGATTGAGCTATCGTTGCATTTTAAAGAAAATAATGGTTACGTAAATATATAATAGTTTATCAAGTTATTGAATTCTTGTCATATAAACTCATATTATAGAGTTTCGCAAAGGTATCCACAATTGTCTTAATATTGTCTTCTAAAATTAAACGCTAACGTTAAGACCACCATGCCCGGTAATCTAAAGAAAAGTATCATCTTGTCAAACTTGTCACTGTTGATTGATTAAAAAAAAAATTCTTTTAAAAAAAAAAAAACAAAAATATTAACGTTAATGATCACCTGTGTAGATCTGTCAAAATGAGTCATTTAGATTTTTGCTTCAGTGTTACACACGAGTTAGGTAATACGAATTTTTTTTTTTTTTTTTTTTTTGATAAAAAAATTTCATAGGTATGTTTGGATATATAAGACTGATTTTTTTTCTTTTTCTTTTTTTTTTTTTTTAACGTTATAGTGATAATGAGTTCCTCACATATATTTTCGCGACGTGCTGATTCAACTTATTTTGCCTTTATATCTTCGAGAATTTATAAGAGAATAAAAATAAAGCATACAGTGCCAACGTTTACTTCTCTTGTTAATAATCAACGCCGATGGAAGGCTAGTGCTATTATGTAAGTTTTTTTTACGAAAAAATATTGAACAAAAAAGTTAGATTGCACGACTCATTATGAATAATATCTTTCTTTATTTCTTTCATTTTATTCTAAAGTCAACCACAACCTGTTCCTACATATTCACCTCCGCCACCACCACCACGGCCACCACCACGGCTTCCATCAACTGTTAGTCCAAGAACAACATATGATAGTTCTTTTGTGGGTCTATCGGGTGGTGAAATATTTCACGAGATGATGTTGCGACATGGTGTAGAACAAGTGTTTGGATATCCAGGAGGTGCAATCCTCCCCGTATTTGATGCTATATACAACTCCGAACATTTTAACTTTATTCTCCCAAGACATGAACAAGGAGCTGGACATATGGCGGAAGGTTACGCGAGAGCTAGTGGTAAACCAGGTGTTATTTTGGTCACTTCTGGTCCTGGAGCAACAAATGTTGTCACTCCAATGCAAGATGCTTTGTTAGATGGTACACCCTTAATTGTGTTTTGTGGCCAAGTTCCAACGTCAGCTATCGGAACTGATGCGTTTCAAGAAGCTGATATTGTTGGTATAAGTCGTGCTTGTACAAAGGTTCATATATATTTTTTTCTCTCTCGAAAATTAAAAAACGTAACATTTAAAGATGAAATATTATATTTATTAATTCTCTTTTAAAAAATCACATATATATAGTGGAACGTAATGGTTAAAGACGTTGCAGATTTACCACGTCGTATTTCTGAAGCATTTGAAATAGCAACTACAGGTCGTCCAGGACCTGTACTAGTTGATCTTCCAAAAGATGTTACCGCGGGTGTTCTTAAAAAAGCTATTCCAACAAAACATAAACTTCCTTTCCTTGCGTTTAATGAAACACCTGCACTAGCTTCATCTTTGACACTTACTCCAGTTATTCATCGTGCGGCTGAAATTATTAACCAATCCAAGCGACCCATCATTTATGCAGGTCAAGGAGTCCTTTCAACAACTGAAGGACCAAATCGTTTAAGAGAGCTGGCATCACGTGGTAACATCCCAGTGACGACGACTTTACAAGGGCTTGGTGCTTTCGATGAATTGGATCCTCGTAGTTTGCATATGTTGGGTATGCATGGTTCGGCATATGCCAATATGGCCATGCAATGTGCTGACACTATTATAGCTCTAGGAGCGAGATTTGATGATCGTGTTACTGGAAATTTGGCTCGTAAGTTTCAAATTTTTAAAATTTTAGGGAGGAAATTAAAAAGAAACCTTAATTCTAAAATTATTTTCCTTTTATAGACTTTGCACCAAATGCTAAAAGAGCAGCAAAAGAAGGGAAAGGGGGTATAATTCACTTTGAAATATGTGACAAGAATATCAACAAGGTTGTACAAGCTACAGAAGCTGTCCAAGGAGATTTATCAGATAATCTTAATAGGCTTTTACCACATATTGAATCACAAGAAAGAACAGAATGGTTTTCATTGATTGATGAGTGGAAGCAAAAATATCCTTGGACATATTCTAAACCATCATCCCCAGACCACGCATTAAAACCACAACAAGTAATAGAAGAATTGGATAGGCAAACTATGGATTGTAAAGAAAAAGTAATTTTAACAACAGGAGTTGGTCAGCATCAAATGTGGGCGGCTCAGTTTTATAGGTGGAGATATCCAAGAACAATGATCACTTCAGGAGGGTTAGGTACAATGGGATATGGATTACCTTCAGCAATTGGAGCAAAGGTTGCATGTCCGGATAAAATTGTTATTGATATCGATGGAGATGCAAGCTTTTGTATGACGGGGATGGAATTAGCAACAGCAGCCCAATATAATATTGGTGTAAAAGTCTTAATTTTAAATAATGATTTTCAAGGGATGGTAAAACAATGGCAAGATTTGTTTTATCAAAAAAGATATAGTCAAACTGAAATGACAAATCCTGATTTTGTTAAATTATCAGAAGCGATGGGTGTTAAAGCTTTAAGAATTCGTACAGAAGAAGAATTACCAGCGAAAATGAAAGAATTTTTAGAACACGATGGACCAATTGTATGTGATGTTATTGTAGAAAAGCATGAACATGTATATCCTATGGTGCCAGCTGGTAAAGCTTTACATGAATTTTTTGTGCATCCTGGTTGTGCGAACGAATTAAAAATCATGTAAACCGTTTTTGATGTATATATATAGAGTTGGTTCGTTCCTTTTTTTTTTAATATAAAAATTCATTTTTATATGTATTGTATTAATTAATATTAACAAAAGTAAAAATTAATATAAAATATTTTTAAAATATTTTTTTTTTTAAAGTTTAATTATTATATTGTGTGAATTTTACAAGTATACAATCGAAAATCATTTTGTCAACAAGTTCAATAAATATTATAAAGGTGTCATCAAAAATAAACAAACCTATTAATCCATTCTTTTAAACTTTATTGATTGAGCCTCTAATCATAACCGATAACTTAACTTTATTCAAATAAATCTTACTCGAAAATCTAAATAAATTATGATATTTATCACATTTTTACACATTATTATCGAAGCAATTAGAAAAATAATCAACATTTGTTTCATTTCTTTCTTTTTTTATTTTTAAAGAAACGATCCTTTCTTTTAAATATAATGAATGCAAAAATACAAATAGATATGTTTTCTCTCTTAATAACCCTTGAAATTATGTTGATAACATGTGATATTTCAAATGAATTGAGTAAATAACAATGTTCACGGAGTTTGTTCAAAGACGAATTGTCTAGATTAAGGCCGTTCTCAAGCGCATCCCTCAATGTTAATGGCCAGTGATTGAAGTAATGCTTAAGTATTGAAATCAATTGAAATAAATATGTTGATCAACGCTTGAGTAATCTCTATCACTTGCTTTTTTTATTGAGTTTTATGATGGTTCAAAAAAAAGAATCAAGCCAACTTTTATAAATTTCGTTCCAACTACTCATTCCTCTCCTTTCACAACAACAAATAATTTATCCTTGCAACAACATCAAAATTCCACTATATGACCTTTTGCTAATCCTTTAATAAATGAAACAGCAAATAATATAGAATCTTTAATACTAAATGAAGCAAGATATATGGATCCTTTACATGAAACAACAAGATATCTGATAAATTTACCATAAAATTCAAGAAAATCAATCACCTTCTATAGCTGTAAATCAAAGTACTATCTGACTAACTTCTACATTTGTTAATCTTAATACACATAAATTAACAAACAGATGAATATCATCAGAAATCCAAATGCTTATTGAAGAAGTAGAAAAGCAATGGCAAACTTTACAATAAGTCAAAGATTCAAGAGAAAAAGGCTAAATCTGAGATAGAATTATTACAAACATCCAAAGGTTAAATTTGGCAAGTTCAGCTTTAAAAAAATATACAAAAACATCAATTCAACAAAAATGTAATATATTTCTTCAAAAATTTCATGAAAGATAAAATTAAAAATACTGGTGAAAAAGCTATTTAGAATAACTAAGAATTTTTTAATGATATAGATAACTTTTAAGAAAAGATTCAAGTATAGTTACACTAATTACAAGTAACTTGATTTATGAAATTAAGCGTAAAGTATAAAAGAATGTTAAAGATCAAGATGAAGAGATCAGTAACATTTTAATATTTATTTTATTTCTATCTAATTAAATTGTTATTTATAATTCAATTAAAAAACAAAAAAAAAGTATGTTTTAAAGAAAAAAATAAATATAAAAGAGATTCAAATTCTTATTAAAAATAAACTAATATTATTGCTACAATTATGAAAAAACAATATGCTTATGCTTTCAAAATTCAGCAAAAGTAGCATAATAAACAAATGAAAATATTTAAAATGTTTTTAACAAAATTTTAATTATAAGCAATTAATAATGTATAATGCAAATAATTTTTATTATGATGTAAAATTTAATAAATAATTATTAATTTATTAAATTTGCTAAATATTCTTTTTTGAGTATTTGTTATTTCTTTTCTTTCTTCATTTCTGCTTCATATTTATTATCATCATCTACATTATTATCCATTTCTCTATTAACATTATTTGAAGATAATAAATCTCTTATATCAATACAAATACTATATAAAATACAATATTCATGTATTATTTTAATAATTCGTTCTATATTAATACAATAAATTTCTTTTAATAAATTCTCCATCTTTTCTTTAAATGTTTAAATGCTTATTCAATAATTATTCACATTAAAAAAAAAGTTTTATTAAAATGGCATTCTTAGGTAGTTAATATATAATAATTAAGAAATATTTTCATTAAATATGTTTAGAGACGAATAATCATTTTAAAGATCAATAAAAAAATTCAATAAACTCAGTATAGAATTTTTTGAAGAAAAAATATTATCATTACATTCAGATTATTATTCTAAATATAATGACATAATTTTTTATCCATATAAAATATAGTTTGCTTTTCAAATTTTTATAAATTTTCTCAGAAAAGTCTCAAATATTATCGGCTGTCTTGTGACTTATGAAATTAGCTGTAAAATTATTGGATCTTTGTATTTGAATATCACCTTTTATTTTTTATGATGACTTCTAGTATAAAAAGTAATATAATTATTGATTTTTGTTATTATTGAAGATCTATTGTATAATATGTATAAAATGAAAAGTGAAAGAGTTAGGCGTATGAGCAATCTCTTTTTATACTCTATTTTTTTTCATTTTTAATAGCTATATAAAAAAAAGATGGTCTGTAGCTTCAGGTTTTTTTGATTTTAATGATCATCATATTTTACCTTTTTAGTTAATGATAAACCCATTAAAAAAGACACTTGAGAATAGCTTAAACAACCAAAGTCAATTGATCAGTGAATAATAAGAAGTATACAAAGTCATAAAGGTATTGTAACATGATTCCTATAGTGATATTAATAGATGATAAGGATGAATTAGTTAATAGTATTCAAAAAGACAATGTTAGATGAATTGTTTGTTTATATTAAGTAAATATTATTAGAAAGTAAGAAATATTTATCATAGTAAGCATGTATTATATAATCTATATTTGTAATATTATTTATTAAAGTAATTGTATTTTTAATATTTGCAGTATTATCTGTTATAGCAAATCATTTTTTCTTTAAATTCATATTTATTAAGAATATTTACTAAACATTCTTTTAATATTTTCAAAATTATAGAAATTAAAAAAATAGTTTTATGTTAATTAATACTTTTGTAATTTCATTTTCTAATTTAACTTTAAAATTATTATACTAATATAATTATCATTTCAAAATCTATTGTGATGTTAATATTATTTATACTTGATTTTAATAATTTTTTAAATTAATTTTTTATTTATTTATAATTATCTTGTATCATCTTTTTGTATTTTATTTTAAATTTTAGTTTAAACTTATAAAGTTTATTTTAAAATACATTATTTAAATATTTCATAATAATTTATTATGATTTTATTAAAGATGATATTACAACTAATTGCAACTGATAATAAATAAGTATTACAGGGTTACAACTAATTGTAATATAACAAAATTAAATTGTAATTAGTTGTAACTGATGACAAATAAGCATCATATAATTGCAACTAGTTATAGATTATCTTTAAATCTTATTAAAAATATTTCTAAACAATAAATCTTTTATTCATTTGTAATATTTAATTATATTTTTATTTTTAATATACTTAATAAAATAAATATAATTAATATTTCTTTTTATCATATTTTTTATATAATAATAATTAAATTTTATCTTTTATACTTTTTATTAATTATATCTAGAGTTAAAAATAGTTTTATCAGTTTTTTTTAGTTCTACTTTAACTCTTTTTACAGTAGTAGTTATAAGTATCCGACCGCCTCTAACTCCGGCTACAAGTAAGTAAATTCAAAATTTATTTTTATTTAAAAAATACATAACCAACTAACTAAAATTAATACATTGTGTAGTCACCATCTAACTTTATAAATGCAGCTGTATACCTTTTCATGCTAGTTACTAAATTTACAGTAAGTACAGTTCCATTCTTTTGTAAGTTCTCCCTTTAACCTTCTAATCAATCAAATTTTTTTTTTGTATATTAATTTTTATTAACCTCTAAATATTTTCTATAAAGTTTGGTCTGAAAACATTGATGGCCAAGAAAGTATCTCAATGCCATTTTTTTCCTTTTATTTTTTCACGATTTTCAATCAATACTTTTGATCATTATCTTCTTGCAAGATCTAATCTATGTTACCTTCACCAAAAAGTTTAGAGGTGAAAGCCAGAAGACCCTGCTTATAAATAGTACACATAAATTTAGCATTAAGATTCCTCTGAAAGCAAAATAGCTTATCAAATCCAGAAGCAGAAAAACATTCCTAAACATGAACTTTTGGTAATTGCTTAATAGAATGAAATACTTTTTTTTACCAGAAAACTGCCAAACATTTTTTTTGATGTATATAATTAAAATGTACTCTCATCTGTAAAAATAACTCAATTCTAATCAAAATTCTTATGTTTTTTTGCCTATTACAACCTTTTCTTTCGATAGTTTTCTTTAAGTAAAGGTTTAAAATTTTCATTACTAAACTTTCCTCTAGACTTACAAAGATGTTACTTTACTATTTCTACATTAAGCCTAACACCTCTTTCTTCTATTTTTCTTGTATTTAAATGGCTGTTATATTATGTTCTTTCTCTACCATCTTTACAATCTTATCATCTTATTTTGCAAATGTTATATAAGGCTACTCCAGTCTTTCTGAAGTGCTTAAGTTTCAATTTTCATAATTATCTTTTACTCAATAAATAGCTGTAAACTTACTATAACGTATCTGTTTAGCAATAAATCTAAAACTAAATTTTAGACCAGCTGGATACTTATATAAAAAGATAATTTCATATTATTTCTCTAAAGAAAGTTTCATTTTTCAAGCGAAAGTTTAATAATCATCTAAATTTTTTTTTTGTATCATTGATACTTATAAATTTACAGGTGATCATATATTGTATTACATTATATTTCTGAAAAATTTAAGGGGTAGTTATATAATAATTTTAGATGATCTTAAACAGTCAGATACTTATGACCGCTACTATAAGTAAATTAACTTTAAGTATTAAGTTAAATTTATACTTATAAAGCATCATGTAATGCTTAA